CTCTGGGCTTTGGGGCTTCAGCAGCCCACAGGGTTTAGATTTTAGATAGAGTAGAGAATAGACAACATTAAGTGAGCAACTTAACAGATATATTTAATGTGTTACATAGTAAGATAAGGTCAGATTTAAGGGCTATGCAGAAAAATAAATTGGATAAGAGGGCCAAAGGGACAGGGTTGGAGAGCAGCCAGTGACATGCGGGGCCTCTTGCAGAGGAGATTCTGAGGTGGGTCTCCAGCGGGTAAATCCTTCTCCAGGAGGCTCTTAGGCACCTGAGGATGCACCGCTTAGCTTAGGCTGAGAAGGGCAGAAGGAGCCACTCAAGAAAACTGCTTGTTCCTCAGCCCCTAAGAGAGAAGAAAGAAACCCAATATTTATTATCCACCATCCGCGGTCTGGCATTCTGTCAGCACCGTTCTCATTTAACGCTGACAACTCCCTATGAGATATAAAGTATTATCTCCACCTCGCACGGAATAGAGGAGGCTCAGAGATAACTGGCAGCTGGCCAGTGGTGCCTGCCACCCCCATGCTTTCTGTTGCTCCCTTCCTTTTAAAAGACTTTGACCCCAAATCACTTTCCAAAATGCCCTTGGGGAACTGGAGATGACGAAGACCGAGAAGCGACTACTGCCTGTGACCGGGAAAACCCCTCATGTTCGCACAGGTGGCACCTGTGATCCTGGGGTTCTGGTGGGCCAGGCCAGAAAGGACTCGGTGACACCACCCTGCTGTTTGCAGCCTCCCTTGTCTCCATGATGCAGGGCGGCTGCAGCCTCAGGGTCCCTGCCTGGCGGTGCCTAGGAGTGCGAGAGCTCCCTGCCCCCAGCCCCAGGAACCTCACATTTCCTCTGCCCTCCCTCGTCCTGCATCTGGGGCCAGCCACCTCCCAAGGGAGCCACCTGGGTGGGGAAGAGAGGGGAGCCACGCACACTTTATCCCCAACTAAGCTCAGGGATTGCGAAGTAGATTAAGGGCATTCACTCGTGAGGACGCCTACTTAACCTGGATCTCCAAAGATCCGGGCTGCACACCAACAGAGGAGCGGGCTCCGGGCCCACGAGTGCGGGGAGGGGCAGGGTCCCCCATCCTCCGCGGCGGGCTTCTTGCCTTATTATCAGCACCACCGCCAGGGGGCGCGCCGGGGCCGGGAGACGGAGAGGCCGGCAGGTTTGGGGCATCTAGGTGTGTTCCACTGACATTTGCTGCTCATCAAATTGCTTACCTTATGTAAGCTATCAGCATTATCAGGACGCTACCTATATGTTGGGCAGTTTAAATAATTATTGTTCAATTAATTCCTGTGCTCACCACCCCACGCTATGGCCCTCCTGCCTCCAGGTTGCCCAGCTTTCTAGTGGCCTCCAAGGAACTCACTTGAAACAGTCTGCGGCTGCTATAGCTCTTAGTGTAAACTTCAAAGCCTCTTTCTGTGGGTCAGAGAGTGTGGGGCCCCTAAAGGTCGTCCTCGTGCGGTTTCCCACGTTGATTTAGGCCTCTGGCCTTTCGCGCTCGCTGCTTCCCTCGCCTGCGGCAGTTTTTCCTCTCTCTTCATCCCCAGGCTGGCTAGTCTGGGCGCCGCAGCACCCAGCAGCCATCGGCAAGTTCCCAACAAAAATGAATGGCACAAGGCTTGATCGGAGATTTCCTCCTCCCTCCGCGCGACAGACGGGTAGCCCCCTGAGGGCGGGCGGGAGGGCGGGGGCCAGGCCGCCGGGGTTTTTGTCTTCACGGCGCCTCCGCAGGGGGCGCGGTGGAGCGCCGCTGAATCCACAGCGGCCCATAGCTTGCCCCTGGGGAGCGCACATCAAAAGGAACCTGGGGACTGCTAGAGAGGTGGGGGTGGGAGGGGGTTAGGCAAGTCGGAGGTCCCCAATATTCATACCAAAATACAAAGTGCTTCCCACGTTCCAGCCCCCAGCCGCCCCCCCGCCCCCCGCCCCCCCCGCCCCCCCCCCCCCCGGCCCCCTGGCCCTCGCCGCCTTATTTGCCCGCTTTCAAGAGCCACTCTCTCATTCCCGGTCCACCTCGGGGCCCACCACACGGAAGCTTCCACCTCCCCACTCTAGCTGGCCTTGGAGTACATTGAACCCTTTCTCCATTGAATGCAACCCACCCTGCCGTCCAGGGTGTCTGCTGGCTGTTTCAGTCTCTGACACGAAGTGCAGGGGCACCATCCCCTCCCCTCAGGGACCATCCCCCTGTTCCAACCGGCAGCGCTGGGCAGGCAGGAGGAAGGAAATTAAGCCTGTGTTGAAGGAAGGACACCTGGCAGGGGAGGAGAAAGGGATCAGGAATCCCCTCCTCTTGGTAGCTTTCAAGTGGGGGGAAATCCCCACACATGCTTCCATCTCCAGGGGCCATGTGGGGCCACACGGAAGTTCCCACACCGCCTCCTCCGTCCTTCCCTTCCTCAGGCTGCTCGGCCAGCATGAGTCTGAATCACCCCCCTCCGCTCACTTGCTTCCCCGCCTCCTCTCCATTCCTTTCCCGGCGCTCAGGGTCTGGGTCTCCTGGTGCTCCCAGGCTGCCTGGAGGAGGCTTTGGATACTGGGCATTGGGGAATGACCAGTCTTACCTACCTGGCCCAGGGCTGCTGACCGGGCTCCTCTCGGCCAACCAATACCCCACCTGCAGCCTCAGAAATCTTTTGCCCCCGCTGTCCAGGGCTGGCACCTGTGGAATCTTGGAGTCCAGAAATGATTCCAAGAGACCATCTAGTCTAGCTCCCAACTCCCAGCCACACTGAATCTACAGTGGTGTCTCGGTGGCTGGGGAAGGTAGCCCTCCTCAGCTCTTGGAGAGATGATTATGGGGTTCTGGAGCCCCCTACGCTGTCAGGCAGGGTTTGAGGTCCAGCAGGCACCTCTGATCAGAAAATCAGCGGAGAGCCCCTGCTGGGTAGGACAGAAATCCGGGCGGGACCTAGCAGACCATGAGGGATATGTGTGCGGAGCTCTCTACCTCTAGAGCCCAGGCCCTGCGGCTCCACAGCTGGGACAATGGCAGATCCATTGTGACCCTATTTCCAGGTGTATCCGAAACAGGGAACCGAGAGTCAGCCCACCACAGGGGCATCTCTGCAGGCTCCATCCTATCCTCTGTCCCAGGGCAGGCCAGGGCTTTTTCTTTTGCTCATCCTTCCCCTTCTCAGCCTCTCCCCTTCCCCCTCTTCCCCTTCTTTCTCCTTGGGCTCCCTCTGCTAGCATCTCTCGCTCTCTCACTCTCTCCTGCACCCTCTCTCCCGTTTCTTTCCTTCCCTCCTCTCTTTCATCTCTCCCCCGACCCCACCCCCTTCAGTCGGGCTAGGAACGCGGCAGAAGCCATGACAAGCCCAGGCGGCTCTCCCGACCCTTGGTTCCCCGGGGCCAGTTCCCCGAGCTCCCCTTGCCCGAAGCAGCCGTGTGCGGAGAGGGCTCTCAGGATGCACAGGGCCAGCAGGTTGGAGCTGTGGGCATGGGTGGCCCAGATCAAAGGCCAGAAATGTCTGGCCCCCTGACATGAACTTCCTCCAGCCTGGCCCCCCACCTGGTGAAAAGCCCGCATTCCAGGCCTCAGCAGGACTTGGGGCTGCCCCTTCTGCCGCGGCTCCCTGAGCAGTGGCCCTTGTCCCCCCTCACTGGCTTTGCTTTCTTCACCCCAGGCCCAGGGCTGCTCCAGGGTCCCGAGTGCCTTAGGGAATGGGGGCCTTGGGTGGCCAGGGAGGGGATTTGGGGGCCCAGTTGCCCAGGTGACAGGGGGCCCGAGTCCCTCCAAAGTCTGCCCTCCATCTCAGCACCACTCAGAGATGAGACCTAATTTTTCGACTCTGGAGAGGGAGAGGACAGAAAGAATCCCGAGGCTTGAAAGGACTTTTATTCACTATGGTGAGGGATGGGGTATTTGGTGTCCACGTGCGGGTTCGAACCAAGGGCTTCAGACTGGAAAGTTGGCGGGGCGGGGGTGGGGGTGGGGGTGGGGGGGCGTGTATGTGCCTGGAGGGCAGCAAGGTCTTCCGAGGTCCCGGGCTGCTTTCCGCCTTTCACCCACCCCCAAACAGTTCATCCACAAGGTCCAAATGGGACTGAGGGTGGTGCGCCTGACCCCAGCTGGAGGCCGGGCCTGAACCCCTCGAGGAGGAGAAAGTGACCCGGCCCTGGAGCAGGAAATGCAACTGGCTTCTGGTGTCAGTTGCAGGAAATGCAAAGGCAGCAGGAGGTCCCGATACCGATCTGATCCCTGACAAAAGACTCGAATGACATTCGGCTCTGTCCCCCGGCGCCGCCCGCAGCCAGACCTTCGAGCCTCCGCGGACCTTTCCGCGCGCCCCTCGGACACCCGGGAAGGGACCTCCTGCGGCCGGGTCGAGTGGCGGGTGGCTCGCGGGCTCGGGAAGGCTGAGAGGGGTTGCATTTCCCAACCCCTCAGCGACCCTCGTATCCTGTCCTGCTGGAGTGAGGTTTCTGGAAACATCTCTGTGTTTTCTACTGTTGATTTCTCAAAGGCCCAAGTCCCAAGGGGTCACGGTTCCCCGAGAGAAAAGGGGCCACCCACCCATGCCCACGCCGACCCGGCACCACGTGAACCCCCGGTCAAAGCTCCATCTCCCTAAACCTGGCTGGCGGGGTGCCGCGGCGGTTCCAGGCCAGCAAGAGGGTCCAACGTGCCGTCTCCCCCCCAAGTTCTCTCTGTGTCCGGGGCGCGGGCTTTGCCCAAGTTTGCTGGGCGATGCCCTTCCCCGAGCCCGACTCGTGGGCCGGGCGGGAGGGGCGCGTGATTGACAGGCTGAACTACAGACTCATCTCTTACCTTAGGCCGCGGGCGCTGATTGGCTGCTCGCTGACATCCTCAAACCCGGCTGCTCCGCGCTGGGCTCGGAGGGGGGCGGCTGCGGGTGGAGGTGCGCTTCTGACAAGCCCGAAAGTCATTTCCAATCTCAAGTGGACTTTGTTCCAACTATTGGGGGCGTCGCTCCCCCTCTTCATGGTCGGGGGCAAACTTCCTCCTCGGCGCCGCTTCTAATGGAGCCCCACCTGCTCGGGCTGCTCCTCGGCCTCCTGCTCTGTGGCACCGGGGTCCTTGCCGGCTACCCAATTTGGTGGTAAGACTCGCCTCTTGTCTGCCCGCGGCCCGATTTCTTCGCCGAGTCTCGGGGAGGTGGGGGTGGGGGGGCGTCGGCCGGGGGTGGGCTCCGACAGGGCTGGGGCTCCTTTCTCCTTGCCTCCTTCCAGCCCCCCAGCCGCCCACCCCTCCTGGATTTTCTGCTGGTGTCGCCTTCAGAATCCAACTCCTGGCTTCTCTGATAATCACCATTTTCCCTGCTACTCGCTGCGGAGGCTGGAGGACTTTCCCCGTCTCAGAAGGTCTCTTGTTCTTAGATCCTAATAGCCTTCCACTCATCCCAATCTGGGGTCCGCGAAGACCCTCCATTTGCTTGCAGTTGGGTCTCTGGAAATCCAGCGCTGTCCCTGGGGCCCAGCCATTCCTCTTCTCCATTTTGGGGTCTTCATGGGCAAAATCATCCTGTTCCTTGCCACCCCCGCCTCTGCCGGCGCCTCCATCAAGAGATTTCCCCACAATAACCCCATTTTGCCTTCATATTTCAGACTCCAATGGCTTCAGGGACCCCATGGGCAGGGGAATGGGGGGAGATTTCATCAGACTCTCCCCACTCTGCTCTAGATTAGTCTTGAGCCTCAGAAGTGAATGTGGTATTTGCTGATCCGAGATGCCATTGAATTCGGATTTTATTCATTTCTTGCTTGTCCATCCCGGAGGAAGGGGGGCTCCTTGAAAATGTAGTTGTTCAGAAGGGGGTGGGTTTGTTCTTTGACCAAAACCCCAATTCTCCATGTTAAATTCGTTCCTTTTGGAAAACCAAGGAGCGAGGAGAAAGGGAGAGAGGGAAAGGAGAATTCCATCCCCGAGAAATGCAGATACAAAAGACATTTTTAGTAAATAAGGCTGGGAAATCACGCGCGGTGTTTTGGGCGGGGGTGCGTTTATGGGGGAGCCGACCAAGGAATTAACAGCCCTTTAGGAGCCCCAGTGGCAGGGAGCCCCCTTGTTTTCCAAGCAGCCCCATCGCCCCCCGGCGGGTCCCAGGGGCCAGAGGGGAAGACACACTGAAACCAGTTCTCTAAATTACACCCGCCTCTCCTCGGTCTCCAGCCCCCTGCATTCCGGAAAACTTTAATTAAAGAATCTTCCCCTCCTGGACACAGGACGGCCTGGGCCTGGGGGTGGGAGGTGAGTAGGAAGAATTTAGGACCTGTGAGTAAAAAGAGGGGCTGTGGCCGCGGGGGTGAGAGTCGGAGAGGAGAGCCACCAGGGTGTGGTGCCACCTGCATGTCCCCCTTCCCCTGGCTTGCCCCCCCCCTCCAGCCCGGGACAGGGGAGCAGAGCCAGGAGATTGGGGGGACCACACCCCGAGTCTGCCCCCAGTTGTTTGGGGGTGGCAGCGTTTGTTTCTGGATGTTTGGGGACGAGGACAGGGGCGGGAGCGGGGCATGGCCGAGTATCTCTGTTTAGAAGGTGCTGGGAGTTGCTCCCAGGACAGACACCCAAGGGGAAGTCTTTCTTCCGCCCAGCCCACCCTTTCCCTGGCACTGCGCTGGCCTGAGGCCTCCTGTACATAAAGAAGTCTGTGGGGGCGGCCTGCGCAGCCAGGGATTCCGGGCTGGGGGCTTTGCCTGTTGCAGGGAAGGCCACTGTAGAAACCAGTCCTGCCTCTGTGGCCCTTCCTGACCCTCTTCGGATCCCCCTACTAGGGCCATGCTGGTCTTTGCCGTCGCAGGGACGCTGGCCAGGGGGAGGGTAGGAAGAGAAGGCATGGAGCCCCACGGGCTGCAGGGACCAGCACGATCAACCAGGTTCCCCACCCTATGAACCAGGGAGGCACTTCGCTGGGCACTGCCTGTGGGAAGGGTGGGGGTCAGGGGATAATGGCGTATTGGAGTGAATCTAGATAGGAACCACCCAATAGAAAGATGCTGGAAAAATCTGGAAAGCCAGAACATTGGCTCTAATGTAATGCTGGACACATGGATTGTTTGTGGATTGGGGGGATAGGGATGCTGCTTTGTCTGAGCAGACACCTGTGTGTGTGTGTGTGTGTGTGTGTGTGTGTGTGTGTGTCCTAGGTCTATGACCCTAGGGGGTGTCATCTGTACACTAGTGTGTTTCTATGTATAGGAGTGTCTGTGTCTGCAACTGGGTGACCATGGATGTGAACTCATGCAAGATATGCCTGGGGAATCCATGGCCCATGGCAGGGCATGCCGCTATGTCTGCATAGCAGTGTCAGCAAGTGGCTGATTCTATTGGGGGGGGTGTGTGGGAGGGTGGGGAGGAGGAGAGGAAGTCTAGAAGTATCTCTGCCTATGTCAAGGTCAGCACCTGCATCTGCTTGTGACACTGCATGACTATGTTCATGACCGGGCATGTGAGTGTTATACATGTACATGTGTGCCTGTGTGCACATGCCTTCATGACTGTAAGGGGAGAAAGCCCCACAGTAGTCTTTGTGCATGGGCACCAGTGCTCGTGGCCATGGCCTGATTGTGCTTGTAAGAATGAACGTGAGTGTTGTGTCTGGGTCTGCCTGTGACTCTGTCTTCAGGTGCCAGTGACCGTGGCTGGGCCTGTGGTTATGGGTGTGTTTGCACGCGGATGATCTAAGGGTGTGAGTGACATCCTGAGATCGGGTGCTCGGAGGGCATTCATGGTCCTGGAAAGATGGGTCGGCAGGATATCAATGTCTAACAAGGAGGCTGCAAGGGGCATAGCTGACCCGGGATCTGGGCTGGGCCGTGTGGGGCGCAGAGCCTTCCCTGGCACAAGCCGACCCTGCCTGCCTGAGGACGGTGGTCAGCAGCCCTCCGCCTTAGGCCTATTGTCTTCGGTCTTGGAGCTGGGGCAGAGGGTGAGTCGCTTTCTCAGGGAAGGGGCCAGGGCCGAGGCCAGGGCCCGGACAGGAACAGTAGAGTGGGCAGGCCTCAGGTTCCTGTTCCCACCGTGTCGTGGGGCAGCCTGAGCCCGTCACCGCTGCCCACTCTGGCCCACCCAGTTCAACGCTTTCCCCAGGAGGGATTTGCAGGGGAGATCTCTTAGCTGGGATTTCTGTCTGTGCCACCCCTCAGGAAGGCACCCCCGCCCCCACGTCCTGAACTGCGCCCCCCGGCCCCGAGAGAAGGTAGACCAGAAGGTAGAGTATGAGGGGCCTCAGACAGAGAGGCTCATGGAGATGTGCTCCAGGGCCCTGCAGCCAAGTAGTGGAAGAGCTGGGACAGGAAGAGGTGACAGCAAGCACTGATTTCTATAATTCTTCTTGTCAGTCACAGTTAGAGCCTGGTGGAGGAACTTGTCTTTCTTCTCCTTCTTGGGGGGGAAAATGAACTGTCTTATTAGGGCCCAGCCTAGTCCCTACTACATTCCAGAGGCAGGGGCCCTCACTGAAGGGGCCTATGCTAGGGGTCGGGAAGCACACCCCACTTCTGTGTGACCCACCCACCTGGGCCTCCGTTATTACCCTTCCACCCAGAGATCACCAGCCTGCCCTGCCCTGCAGCTGGGGTTGGGAGAGAAAGTGTTCTGCGGAAGTCAAGGGCAGTGAGCTGGGATGTACACCTGAATTCTCCCCCCACCATCCTCAGATCCATTCCCCAACTCAAGTGCTTGCCCTAAGCCCTGCCTCAGTTTCCCCATCTGTCAGGTGTCGCCCTGCCTCCCCCACCCACTCCCACCTCCCCCGCCCTTCAGAGGCTTGTGAACATGTTCAGTCAAACCCCGTGGGGGTCAGTGGGCCGGGCCCAGGGAGGCACCTGGAGACTGCGGGGGAGGAAGGCCCCAGGCCAGGTGTTAACACTTGTAACAGGCAGGAATTACAGCTGGCTGGGGCTGGGGCTGGTGAGGAGCTGAGCTGGCTGGAGGCTGTTGATCCAACAGACAGACAGACAGACAGATGGGCAGATACCAGATCAGATGGCCAGGCTTTAAGCGGGTGGTCTCCCTTCCAGGGCAGGCCTTTCCCTGGGGGGATGTGGCAGGGAAATCAATCCAGGTCTCTTGGAAGTGAATTAACAGCCCTCCTGACCACCCCACACCTATTGTGGGCGGAGCATGGTGTCTAAAGGGAGCAAAAGTTGTGGCTTATTTGTTTGTATTCTTCTGATAGGACCACATTTTGCTTAAAAAACAAAAAACAAAAACAAAAAGCAGGTCAAATGTTATAACAATACCAGGAGCCTGGGAGGTACGTTCTTGGAAGAACCTGCTTTAATGTGTGGGGAAGTCAAAGGGGAAGGGGCAGCTGTCAGGGAAAGTTCTCCTAGAATTTCATAGCATTTTGTCAACAGCTCTGGGGCTAAGAGGTGAGCCTTGGGTGGAGTCTGGCCCGAGGAACTTGGGTGAGGGGTGGCTGCCCATCAGGAAGACCTTTGTGGGGAAAGGCAAAAGGGGCAGGAGCTAGACCGTGGTGCCCAGCCCTTTAGGGGGCACCCTGTCCTCCCTCCCTGAAGTTTTGCCAGTGGCAAACCCAGCAAGACCCCACCAGCACCCGCGCTCTCTGGCATCTGGGTGCCTGCTCAGTCACTGATGAAGACAGAGGGCTCTAAGTGGAACTCCCCAATGAACAGACTCAGCCAAGCAAGTGTCTCCCTCCTGCTCTCTACAGAGCTTAATGCTAATAAACCATGGTACTTGGGCAGATGTGGAATTGCAAAGCTACCAAGCACACAAGGTGGGGAAGGGGAACTATGACCCTGAGGCTTTCTCTAGACTTGGAATGGGTCTCTCCTTAGTTTGGGCAAGGGGCAGGGAGCCTGGGGTTGGGAAGGAGAGGTGGCTCTTTTCAGAGGAGAATGCAGCTAACAGATCCTCCCAGGGAGAGTGGGAGAAAGGAGGACACTTCTGACCTCAGAATGGGGTGAGGCCAGGCATTGAGGAGGCCCTGGTCTTCTAGGTTTTTCTCCCCACCCTGCTGTGAGCCACAAAATCCCTCTAAAGCCACCAAGGAGGGAAAGACATTCTCAAACCCTTGCCCCTACATAGGGGAGGGGGTATACCTCCTTCAAAAGTTAGGGCCATCCTGACATTACATGG